TGTAGAAATATATATATATATATATATAAAATATTACTGTATTTTTTTATAAGTATATTATTTTTAGAGACACACAAATTTACACAAACACTTGTATATTTATATATAAATAAAGGTAAATAAAATAATTTGTTTTATCATGTATATAATGAAATTATATTATATATAAATTATGTATTATAATAATGTCAAGAATTTATTCCATCCTTTATTAAATTATTAATGTTAATCTTTATCGATTAGTTGTTGAGTAATTAAATAGATTAACTGAAGTGAAATTAATTATATATTTGTATAATTACATTGAAAATAATTAAATTGCCTCAACCCAAAAGGAACTGATTGGATAATTTTTCATTGCCAATTAATTTATCTTATTTCATTGAGCAAATAAATAGATTTCCAAATAATAAAATAAATAATAATAATAATACTTAATTACATTTGTTTTTGTTATTATTAGTAGTAGTAATAGTAGTATTCATTTTATTGTTATTAGGGTTGGGCATCGTTTGAATTTGATCAATTCTGACTCCGATTCCACTTATCGATTCCGATTCTTTTCTATTCCAATGTGATTAAAAATTATATTAAACATATTTATTCTGTCAATTTTTGCAAACCATTTAGTTGCAGCTGATTACCACAAACAAAAATCAACAGGCTACATAAAAACTGGACTCGTTTAAGAACTGTTTGTGCGCAAAATAGAGTTGCATGATTCTGGATACATTTTTTTTTTAAATGGAAGTTTTTTATTATTATTATTTTGTTTTTAAATGGAAGAAAAAAACAATTAGACAACTAAAGTAAACAAAGATGTACTTGTTTCATTACTGGATGAATCGGTGTTTTTGAACAAATCTCTTGTATGATTCAAAGACAAATACATTTTAACAGTACCTTTTCGCCACCTACTGGTGTAACAATGTAATCGAAAAATCTTTATTTGAAGCGTCAAATTACTTTCAAAAGGTGATTTACTCCGTTGAATTTATCCATCAGGAATAGACTGGATGATGAAATGTTGTATTTGTATGACGGTGGCATCTCACCCTCCTCTGACAGCGGTTTGTCTTTGGTCTCTTGGTCCATCTGCTGACACCAGGCCTCCATGCGCTCGGTCTCGGCCTGCAGAAGCTTCTGGAACCAGCACCCGTCCCTGAGGCACGCCGCACCCCCGGGCTGCTCCACGGCCCCGTTCACGCTCCCGGCCTGCAGAGATGGGTCGGGCGGCGGGAGGGAGGACGGGTCCACGTTGAATTGATCCATCAGGAATAGACTGGATGATGAAATGTTGTATTTGTATGACGGTGGCATCTCACCCTCCTCTGACAGCGGTTTGTCTTTGGTCTCTTGGTCCATCTGCTGACACCAGGCCTCCATGCGCTCGGTCTCGGCCTGCAGAAGCTTCTGGAACCAGCACCCGTCCCTGAGGCACGCCGCACCCCCGGGCTGCTCCACGGCCCCGTTCACGCTCCCGGCCTGCAGAGATGGGTCGGGCGGCGGGAGGGAGGACGGGTCCAGCGCCGGGTCCAGTTTCTCCTGCAGCGAGGGTTTGAGAACGCTGCCCCAGTCCAGACTCTGGTGGGGCGTCTTATTCTGCGAGGGTTTACTGTCGGACTGCTCCTGAGATTCAGCCTCTGTCGTCTCCTGTCTAGACGCCATGCTAGTGAAGCGACTGAGTCTGGACGCACAGAGAAAAGAGACCCGTTAAAGACACCAACCAACACTCAAACTACACACTTCCATTAGTTTATGAATTTTCTGTTATTCATTTCTGTTATTATATCTTAACTAATTAAGAATTTTAAATCGATTTATAAATATCAATTTGACAAATATCAATAAAGCCTCCCTAGTTTACATGTTGTTAGATATTCTCCATTTCATTGGACTGTCTTAGAAAATAAAAAACGAAAAGGAGGAGCAGAGACTGGGAACGCGGGCCGGGAGAAAGAAAGAGATATGAAAATAGACTGCAATGGAGAGCGCCAGGAAACAAAGCGAGTGGGAGATGCGCACAGAATCTCATTATCTCCAGCCGTCTGCACTGAATCATTATTTGTGAGTGTTTTCAGCGCCATACATGGCTGAGAAACTCTGCTGCTGACTCACACTCACTCACTCACTCACACAGCGATCACACAGCGCTTTCGTGAGAAGCGCTGCTGTCAACATGCGTATCAAATTCCAAAGTGCTAAATGGAGGCGCAACTTTTCGTTTCTGGAGGATGCAAAAGGCAGAAAGGAAACTCACGGTCTGCCGTCTTCAACCTGAACCCCGATGGACTGGAACCTGGTGGTGGGAGTTTGTTCCTCTTTCAGAATCGGCTGCACACAATCCACCTGCCACAAGAGAAACAACTCGGATCCAATACATCTAGAATTTAAAGTAGTTATGAATCAGCTCTAATGAGCTCAACACAGCACTAAGGTCACTGACTGATTCAGCGAAACAGCTTGAGTGTAAAGGGGTCGTTTGATGAAAAACAGGTTCTTTCCTGCTCTTTTGAAAAGTCTGATATGCTATGTGATGTAGTTAATATTCATAACTCACACCTCCCTCGCTAGTTTACCCAGAGCATTTAAATGAGTAAAATACAAAACCTCTCATTCAGAATTAGTCATGGTGTGTCACGTTCATGAGCTCGTTAACATACAACTGCCAACATTTACATATCAGAGCCTACGTTATTCAACAAATAAGCCTGAATGACTGTATGAATTGAACATATAAGATCATAAATTGATTTCTTCACATCCTATAACAATACAGACCATATCTACTATGTTATAAAACATTCTTTCATAGATTAAAAAAAAATGCATAAATACCAATAAAATTTTAAACATGATTATTTATATATATATATAAAATAAAATAATTTACATTTTTATTTTTTAGAATTGTAAACTATCATACAATTTTACACGACCAATAAAATTGTACTTTATTATTAGGGATGCACGATATATCGGCCACCATATCGGTATCGGCCGATAAATGCTCATTTTTTCTGTTATCGGTATCGGCCTGATAAGACTTTTTTATGACTAAATTTGGTAATGGGAGAGTAAAAATATTTTTAAAACGTACACCGTTCAAACTAGGCTGCTTATGTTGAAGTGTTTGGGATGTGGCTTTTAATGATGAGACCTTTTTTGTAATCAGGCTCTCAAAAAGTATATAACAATTTGGATATAGATTTATCGGCCAACATATTGGTTATCGGCTTTCAAAAATAAAAAATAATCGGTTATCGGTATCGGCCAAAATTTTCATATCGGTGCATCCCTATTTATTATAGTTATTGTTTGTGTAATATATGTGACCTGGGATGGCAAAATGAGTCACAATGAGCACATTTTCAAAAATGTGTTACTGTAAGATCCTTTTTCATGGCTTATCGCTCTTAATAACTCTTAACATCAATCAAGTCCTGCCATTTATTTTCTCATTCCTGCATGTTCCTTTCAAAACCGAAATTAAAACATCAGATGCAGAAGTGCTTCGCTTGGATAAACAACATTTTCAAACAAAGGTGGTACAGAAAACATACAAATAAGGACAATTTTAGACGTTTAATTACTATGTGGAGCACTGGGTTCACTAGACGAGGCCTTAATGGACTCATTTTTGTGAAAATTCAACCAAATTGACATTTTTCACTAGAGATGCACCGATTGCAATTTTCTTGGCCGATTTAAAACGTACTCAGTCAAGAGCAGAAAGTGATTTTCTTTGGCTTTTGTTCTTTGATTAACATGACAGACAGCAGCAGGAATATTGGACTGCGGTCCCTTTAAGAGTTTATCCATGGACCCAATATACTTACACAACATTCTCTTTCTCAACTATTTAACGTTCCAAAACTGACTGTGTTTAACTGGATACATGCCAAGACTAGGGCTGGGCAAAAAAATAGGTTTTTTGATTAATCGTTTTTTTTTTAATTACGTCGATTCGATATCGATTCTCAAGAGCCGCGAATCAATCTTTTCCGGGATTTATGTCAGCACACATTTAAAATAAGATCTGATTAACGTGACTCTTATCATTAGTCTTCTCCACTAGATGTCACCCTTATTTACCTTGCGCGATGTTACAACAGAAAGCCTGTCATTCATTCAGTGCTTATGTTTTTGTAATTTGTATTAAAACTATATTCACTGAATGGAATAAAAAAAAATCGAGAATTGAATCGAGAGCTTGCGAATCGAAATCGAATCGGGACATCTGAATCGATTCCCAGCTCTAGCCAAGACGGGCATTTTGACATAATTTTGTATGTATTTGAACGTTTTAGCGCAGTTAGCCACTCATTTTGGTATTTGTGGCTCACAAGCGGTTTGAGACGGAGCGCGGATTGTGCGATCCACTAATATTGATCGCTTTTGGTGTAAGCGCGAAACCTGCGGGAAAGACTATAATGCACAATAAAAGCACTATTTAACCGGAGCGAATGAGATGTGTGTGTGAGAGAGAGAGAAGGTGTCGTCAGAGAGAAGAGAACGAGAATGCGCGGCTGATGTTATTGCCTGTGCCGCTGGTAACAAAACGGATCGGCTCGAAATCGGAAATAAGTGAGACTGACTGGCCGATCATGAGGAAAATCGTCCAATTCCGATCCCTGGCCGATCGATCGGTGCATCTCTAACACATACATATACTATGTAAAAACAAACTTTTATTTTGGATGCGATTAATCGTTTGACAGCACTAATAAGAAGCCACATCATCTCACAGAAGGATTCACTTCAAACACTCGACTCACGTCGAGTATAAAAGCAGCCCTAGCATAAAAGCATAATGACGACATCATAAATATTCACACACACCTGAATGCCAATGGAGGAGAGTTTTCTTTTGGGCGGGGCTTGCGGTTTGTTGGGAGCCACTGTGAGGCTTGCAGGCTCGTTTTTGGTGTCTGGGGCAGGAGAGGGCGGGACAATGGCGGGAGGAGGCGTGGTCACTCTGGCGCTGGGCAGGGGCACGGGTTCCCGTGGGGCAGGGATGGGGGGCAGGATGGGCTGCCGCTTGGCACACTTGACCAGACTCCCTGTCCGAGAGCTGGCGATGCTGTCGGAGGAGTTGCTGCGTCCTGATTGGCTGTTGATCTCGCTGCGCTGGTCCTGGCTGTCCAGGTATGTGTCCTGGGCCGATTCGGTGCTGCTCTGGACCGTCACTGCGATGTAGGGTTTGAAGGTGGTTCGAGGAGGAATAGGCGGAGGATTCTTCTTACAGACGGCCGTACACGTGGAGACTGAAAAACACAAGAAGATGGACTGTCAGAATGCTCCCACAACCCCAGTACAAAGTCTCTTCACATGTCTTTTCCCAGCAGCCCCTGCTTGGGAGCCACAGGAAGAGATGAGACAAAGACAGGCATTTACATACTGAAATCTGGACAGCATTCCGCTCATGCCAGACTGCGTCAGGAATGTGTCGCCCACAAAACATGGGCTGAAATCTGCTGACTAGAGACTGGGTTTGGTATGGCGTGTCATGAAGCCTGATGATAACGCTCGGCGGTGTATTATTAGCCTGCTGAACAGTGTAGGAGAAGCTACTTTGAAAGCGTACAAGCTGGGAGGCGGTAGGACCAAAATCTATTCCACCGTATGAGTCATTTTAAATCACCATACAGTTATTTTTGCTGGAAATTATATATTATAACAAAATCATACAGAGATGGGCCAGTGTTTGACAATCTAGTGGCTTAAATACTTAAAAAAAAAAAAATCTGATTATTGGTAACAATTAAAGGGTAAGTTTGATATCAGAAACAGCTACATATTATGAAAATAAAAGCAAAAACACTCAAAACCTCACAAATATGAATCAAAGAGCCATGTGTGACAGATAAAATACAAATTAACAGTAAAAAAAAATTATATATATATATATATGCTGCCTTGATGAACATAAGAAAATATTAAAATGTCAAAAGATGTAAAAACACAAAAAAAAATAGACTCCAAACTTTCTTTATATATATCTGAAAAACAAAAAAATTCCAACAAGTTAGCAGCATTGCTATTTATTTGAATAATTACTGTCTAACACAGCTGATAACAGATCAATTTGATACGAGTTCTGTCAACACTGAAGAACAGAGTTGGACTAAAATATTACATTAATCAACAGTTTTGCGACGAGCACAAAAACCTGTGTTACTGAGCAATCAGGGCTAATATCTGCCCTCCCTCAAGAGGTTCGTGAACAATTCTCCTCTGTCTTGGCCGTGCTGTATAAAGGACTCAGTGCCAGGACAAGTTCAACACCGGACTGTGGGGCTCAGAGACAATATTGGAAAAATCTGTTTCCTCTCTCTGGCTTGGCTTGCTGGCATTGTGCTCTGTGCTCGCCGTTTGGTGCCAGGACAGATGCTTCACAGCAGTCTATGACCATTTGTTTGTCGATACAGATGACATGGGAAGATTTGATGACAAAGAGCCAATCTAAATACAAACCAGTCAAAAAGCATGGGTGCCGTCAGAATGAGTGTCCAACAGCTGATAAAAACATCACAACAATCCACACCACTCCAGTCCATCAATTAATGTCTTGTGAAGCAAAAACTGGCATGCTTATAAGAAACAAATCCATCATTAGGATGTTTTTAACTTCAAAACGATGCTTCAGGTTAAAATACGATACAATAATCTATAATATTGCTTTCTCCAGCGAAAAAGTCATCTTGTCTGAATCAGGAGAGAAATCTGCACAGATCAAGCACCGATTACAATCAAAAACAGTCCAAAACAAATATGTGGCTGGATTTTGATGTGAGAGACAACAGGAGATGGATGTTTTCTCAGAAGGAAGCATTATTTTGGATTATGTACTCATATTTTAGCCAGAAGCAAAGAATTGACGTTAAAACACCTAAGTGATGGATTTGTTTCTTACAAACACACAGCTTTCCTCTTCACAAGACATTATCTGATGGACTGGAGTGGTGTGGATTGCTTGAGGATTATTGTGATGTTTTTATCAGCTGTTTGGACTCTCATTCTGACGGCACCCATTCACTGCAGAGCATCCATTGGTGAGCAAGTGATGCAATGCTACATTTCTCCAAATCTGATTTGTGGGCGAACTGTTTCTTTAAGGTACACAAACCCCACAGTAACGAAAGTGCAACGGCTAATTATTCCCGCTGACAGCTATTGAACAACTGACTTCAGCTTGGCTTCTCTGAGATGTAGTGGCAATTTAATTAAAGCACTTTTATACTGAGAACAAATCTCAAAGCAGCACCGAATTAATCACATCTCAACCTCCCTCGAGAACTTCAACAGTCGTGAATAAAACAGTAGCTTGGCTCTTAATGTCTGGTACTTTGCACTGAGGGTGATATGAGTTTATGAGACAGTTGGGGCTCAGATCCAGATTAACGGCATTAGAGCCAGTCGCTCTGCCCCGGGCCCCGGCCAAACCTCACATGGCCTTTCTATGAACACACAGAGGTCTGATGGACTGGAGTGGTGTGGATTGCTTGAGGATTATTGTGATGTTTTTATCAGCTGTTTGGACTCTCATTCTGACGGCACCCATTCACTGCAGAGCATCCATTGGTGAGCAAGTGATGCAATGCTACATTTCTCCAAATCTGATTTGTGGGCGAACTGTTTCTTTAAGGTACACAAACCCCACAGTAACGAAAGTGCAACGGCTAATTATTCCCGCTGACAGCTATTGAACAACTGACTTCAGCTTGGCTTCTCTGAGATGTAGTGGCAATTTAATTAAAGCACTTTTATACTGAGAACAAATCTCAAAGCAGCACCGAATTAATCACATCTCAACCTCCCTCGAGAACTTCAACAGTTGTGAATAAAACAGTAGCTTGGCTCTTAATGTCTGGTACTTTGCACTGAGGGTGATATGAGTTTATGAGACAGTTGGGGCTCAGATCCAGATTAACGGCATTAGAGCCAGTCGCTCTGCCCCGGGGCCCCGGCCAAACCTCACATGGCCTTTCTATGAACACACAGAGGACAAGCACCAAAATATGACCAGACTGAGGCACTGTGGCTTCTGTGAAACACAAAAGGAGAAACTCTGACGTATATTTATGCAACTCTCAATCATATGACACTTCATCGTGACCACGTGTCAAAAAGCCATCGATGCTTTTTTTGGAGCTTAACAGGCATTTTATTGCCTAGATGATATTTAAATGCTTCGTTTTAGTATAAAAAGCTCTGTAGTTTTAAAACATATAATGCAATGCAATACAATGGAAGCTCCCCAAAAGCCTGATGCACTTTGTTTCATGCACAAGACCTTAAATTATTTTGTGCTGCAATGGAAAAATAACAGCATACAGCTTTGAAAGAACATAAGGGCGAGTGAATGATTTAAAGCATGTTGGAAATCAACAACTAAGTTCTCCACAAACACTTTAACCCAATAAAGCTACTGTTTCATATTTAAAACATGAATTTCTATGGCCACCAATGACAAAATTTTGCTGAACTTTTTCCTGATTATGCATACATCATTTTTAAGAAAGATCATGTTCAAACGCGAGTATCCAATCTGCCCATCAGGCATTTGAGGAATGTTTATTTGTTCATTTCTCGATCATCATTGTATTGCATTGCATTATATGTTATGACCATAAAACTAAGCATTTACATATCATCTTACTAAGACGTTTTTGGGAGAAAAGAGGTATTTATATGCATTTTATGTAAGCATCTGCTATACTGTTATAAAGATCTCATTGATTAACATTGCAAGCTATCAGAATTTCATCTTTTTGCCATATAAACATCAGCATCTGCATCAAATTGTATATTTTTGCCCAGCTTGGGCCTCTAGTTAAAACAAAGCTAGAGATTAGTCAGAGCTGTTTTTTCCTCCAGGTTCTCATTATATCATACTATACGAGTCATAATAGCCTGGTGTATCAAAAATATGTAGCTTTTTTAATTATAATTTTTACTGAAAATTAAACTAGTTTTACTTTAAATTTATAACATTGTTGGAGTGAAAAAGAGTCAGTCTGACTCCATGCCTTTGAGTATCTTGAGTGATGTCGCAACTAAATTATAAATCTGCCCTTGGTCCATACAAGCCATAAACGCAAAGATAGACTAACTTACACTACACAGACATGGCCCGTCCTTTTCATCACATTCACACTTGTTATCCTTATTAGGACGTGTTTTTTAGATTAGGTGCACCTCTTCTCTCCAAAGCACAGCAAGTGTTTACCAAGAAGAGAAACAGTCTAGTGAAAGTAGGACAAACTAGTGTGCATGGCTGAAAATATGGAGTACAATCAAACTTTTCCAACATTTCTCCATGCAATCTCATGATTGAGGAGAGAGCAACTTATGTTTGGGTTTACATATGAGTCCTGCATCCTTCACATATTCAGCATAAACCAGGGCAGCCAGAACAATGCATGCTCTGTTCAAATGTTATATTATCTCTCCCTGACTTTGCAATGCAAACAATGGCATTCGACCTGATTGAAAACACAGAGCACCGAAACCGGCCTTTGTGTGACTGGATTCAGATCTCACACGTGCAGTGTTGATCCAGACGCATGCAATGCTCTGAAACGGTATTTTGCAGGAAAACTGCAAGCTGTCATGTTCAAGGTAGGCAATGCTGTCATGCTTTGCCTGTCTAGACACAGATGCATCAACACACAC